GGGGGGGGAGTGACAAGGGGGTAAAAGGGTGTGTTGCAGCAGCCAGTCCGCTGAGGGGAGGGGTTAGAGGAGGAGGAGGAAGAAGAAGAAGAAGATGCCACTTCCTTCATCTGCTCTCCTCCTTCCAGACCTGCGACTCACCCCGCCGACGCCGCTGCCACTGCCTGCAATAATGTCGTGCAAGTAGAGGATCCAAGGACCAACAGCTAGTAAAAAAAGAAAGTAAAAATATCGGAAGAAGAAGAGGAAGGAGACGAAGAATTAGAAGTAGTAGTGGTAATAGTAGTAGTGGTAATAGTAGTAGTAGTAGAAGAAGAAGAATAAGAAGAAGAAGAAGAAGAAGAAGAAGAAGAAGCATGTGCGGTTGTGAATGGAGCTGCTGTCAGCTCGCTTACGTCCTTTTTGGGGGGCAGGAAAAAGAAAAAAAAAAAGTGAACAGGAGATAGCAGGCAGTAGGATATGGCGGGTGGTGCAATATGGCTGGCGAATGTGCGAGATGGTGGGCGGTAAGATATGGAGGAGGAGGAGGACGACAAGGAGGGAAGAAGAAGACAAAAGGAGGAGGCGGACGAGGAGGGAAGAAGAAGACGAAAGGAGGAGGAGGAAGACGAAGAGGAGGAGGGAAAGGAGGCCGAGGAGAGAAGAATAAGGAGGAGGAAGAGCAGGAGGAGGAGGAAGAGGAAGAAGAAGAAGACGAAAGGAGGAGGAGGAGGTGACAACGAAGAAGAAGAAGACGAGAGGAGGGGGAGGAGGAGGGGAGGAAGGAGGAGGAGGAGAGACGACGAGAGGAGGAGGAGGAGGAGGAGGATGAGAAGGAGGAGGAGGAGAGAAGGAAAAGATGAGGAGGAGGAGGGAAGAAGAAGAAGACGAGAGGAGGAGGAGGAGGAGGAGAGAAGAAGAAGAAGACGAGAGGAGGAGGAGGAGAGAAGAAGAAGAAGACGAGAGGAAGGAGTAGAAGTAGGAGGAGGAGGACCTGCCGGTAGTATATGGGGATTACGGCGGGAGAAAAAAAAAAGAGGACGAGGAGGAGGAGGAGAAGGAGAAGGAGAAGATGGAAGTAGGTGGAGGAGGAAAGAAGAAGAAGAAGACGAGAGGAAGAGGAGGAGGAGGAGGAGAAAAAGAGATGGAGAAGACGAAAGTAGGTGGAGGAGGAGGAGGAGAGAAGAAAAAGAAGAAGACGAGAGGAGGAGGAGGAGGAGGAGGAGGACAAAAGAGAAAACCAATGAAATCGGGACGGGGAGGAGGAGGAGGAGAAGAAGAAGAAAGGAGGAGGAGGAGAGAAGAAGACGAAAGGAGGAGGAGAAGGAGGAGAGAAGAAGCCTAAAGGAGGAGGAAGAGGAGGAGAGAAGAAGACGAAAGGAGGAGGAGGAGGAGAGAAGGTGAGCGGAGGAGGAGGAGGAGGCGAAGAGGAGGAAAGGAGGAGGAGGAGGAGGAGGAGGAGGAGGAGATGGATACGAAAGGAGGAGGAGGAGGAGAGGAAGAAGAAGAAGAAGAGGAAGGAAAGAGGTGGAGGAGGCTTCACCACGGTGGTGACAGAAGCTTCACGGGCAGCAACAATGAGGAGGGCACAGACAGCAACGACGAGCAGCTCGACAAGGAGGAGCAGCATCGACAGGCAGGCGTCGCAACGGCAGCGACGACAGGCGGGCTTCGCGACGGCAACGACGACGGGCAGCTTCGCAATTGCAGCAATCACGGGCTTCTCAATGGGGAATACCGCGTTCGAATTCGAACGCGGCGTCATAGCCCGCCAGAAGGGGAACCCATTTCCTGGTGGCTGATCTCAGCCGCTGATCTTTGCAGATCGGCGACTGGGATCAGTCGCCAAAGAAGACCTTCCCACCCCCCTAAAACTAGTCCTAGATCAAAACCAAAAAAAAAAATTGTGTTGCTGGAGGCTGGGGAGACGACCACTGGCCGTAATTGCGCTGGGCTCGCCCGACCCCAAACCGGGGGACCCAACCGGCCGGCCGGGCCGCTCGGGACCCCTGCCAGACGAAGGCCAGGCCACCGGACGGTCCGGAGTTTAACACAGACAAAAATAAAATAAACAACCTTGTTTTTTTCTCTATACTACTAAAGGATAACCCGGCCCTCAGCTGACGTCCTCAGCGCGCCCAGCAAAAATTGCTGGCACACAAGAGGTGCCGGGGGGCCGCTGTCCCACAGAGAGGCGCAATGCAGATCGTTTGTTCCTTTTTTTTTCGGTTCGGGCGGTTGAAGTTTCTGCCGGTTCACTCTTTCTTTTTTTTGTTTTTTTAGTCTGCATGCCAGGAAAGTAGTGTAGTGCGGTGGCCATATTTGTCATGGAATAGTGCGGTGGCGCTTTTCATCGTTTAATAGTACGGAGGCGTTTTTAGTTGTTTCGTCGTGAAATAGTGTGGCGGCATTTTTTTGTTGTTTCTCATGAAATAGTGCAGTGGCGTTTTTCGTCATTTCGTCGTGAAATAGTGCGGTGGTGTTTTTCGTCGTTTCGTCGTGAAATAGTGTGGTGGCATTTTTCGTCGTTTCGTCGTGAAATAATGCGGTAGCGTTTTTCGTCGTTTCGTCGTGAAATAGTGCGGTGGCGTTTTTTGTTGTTTCATCATGAAATAGTGCGGTGGCGTTTCTGGTCAATAGTGCGGTGGCGTTTTTCCTCGTTTCACGAGGGTGGGGGTACCTTGTGCTTTGATCATGTTTGAACACAAGTACATACTGGCGAGCATGAGAAGGAATATATGTGGTATTCTCACAACGAATCTCGCGCCATAACATGGGAAGATACACCCCCTAAGAGTTCTCATGCTAGAACATGGGAGCATACACCCGCGCTGTGGTTGCATTTGGGGCAACTTTTTCACTCCAGCTACGGTGATCATCCCTCTCCTAATTCACGTAAGCGCGTACTCACACCAGGACCATTTTGGATGTATCCAATCACAATCAAGGTCGTCTTGGATGCATTCAGGGGAGGAGCAGAGCAGGCAGGAGGCGGAAGCGGGCGGGAGGTGGCAGCAATCAACATGAGTGCGCGAAGGCGATCGGGCTGGGTAGGCGAGGAGCAGGGTGGAAGGTGGAGTCAGGATCGGTGCACCAACAGACAGCGGGTGTGGAGAGAGAGAGAGAGAGAGAGAGAGAGAGAGAGAGAGAGAGAGAGAGAGGGGTTCGGGGATGATGCTCTCTCTGAGATAAGGTGGATGCCGGAATTTTTTATTATTCTTTTTTGTTATGTTTTCCATTGCTGCCCGCTGCAGCAGTGACAATCCAACCGAGGGCCCATTTCGCTATCTACACGTTTCATCGTTCCATAGCGGCCATACTTATCGTGGTGTATCTCTCCATGTTCTGGTGGGGGATTCAGGGGCTCGCTCCACTACTCACCAAATGTGCAAAATGAGAATGAATCTGCTGCTAGAACATGGAAAGATACAACGCCATATTTTTGTCTTTTCTTCATGTGGCGAGTATATGTGTGCTTTTTTTCGCCCTCTTGGTCCCCGCTGCGTTACTGGCGGGCATCTGCTTGTTTTTTAAAAGGGCAACCTTTCCGGTATAATCCGGGCACTCCGGCCAGGTTCATACTGAGGTTGCTATTGTATAATACAAGGCAGAAATCGGGTCCAGTGTCCCTTACATCAGAAGCGAAAACCATACTTGTCGCGCATCACGTGCGCGCCACTTGCGCACATGCAGCGCACTGCGCACGTGGTGCGCCGCAAGGGCGAAAATCGGGGTCAACCAAAACAAAAACAATGTCAGGAGGGGGTTAAATCGGAGTTTCCCCGCCCCAGGAAAAATAGCAGATGGGCTGCGGAATCTTCTTTTGTGCCCGTGCTCTGCCCCAGAAACTGTGTGTTGTGTTTCACGAGTTCCTTATTCTAAGGGGCTCGCCACACAGGCTGTCGAAAATCGAAATTCTTCAACAGCTGTCAGGGATTTTTCGACAGTCACGCGTTCGACAATTTTCCCCCCTATGGCCACACAGGCTGTCGAAAGGGCGTGGCTGTAGAGATTGGCTAGTCGACGCCCCCTTTCGACAGGTCCTGTGTGGCGATGCGAGCGGCCTGTACCTGGCCCATAAACGATGATATGGGGTAGTGCCTGGCCACACAGACTTTCGACGGCGCTGCGGACAAAAGGGCCACGTTTGTCAGTGGGTAGTGCCTGAAGTGAAAAAAGCAAGCGTTTCTCGACAGCTACCAGGAGCACTGTCGAGAAACCGTGCACCGCAGGCGGGAGGAAACTCGTTCAACACGGCGGCTGTCGAAAGAGGAAGTCTGACACTTGTCGAAATTTTTTGCGACGAAATTCTCGACAGTCTGTGTGGCGACGAGAAACTGTCGAAAACCTCGTTTTCGACAGCCTGTGTGGGGAGCCTCTAAGTATGGGCATCGCTTCACTACTCCGGAAATGCACAAAAGACAAAAATCATGGCGATGTATCTTTCCTTGTTCTAGCAGAAGATTCACTCTCGTTTTGCACATTTCGAGAGTGGCGGAGCAAGGCCCTGAGCGAGTCGTTTCGGCGTTCCGACACAGTCATGATGAGGAAATGTCCTGCTCCGTGGAACGGTCGATTTGCTCTCAGTATTTCTAGAAATAGAAAACAACAAAACAGACAGGCCTTTTCCCTTTGGCAATTCGCTATAAAAAAAAGGGAACAAAGAACATTCGTAAGTGCAACACGGGAATGTGCCCAAAGCAATAACGTGGAAATATACACCCGCCCTTTCCAGTCCCGTACAGTCATGGTGAGGTGAGCTCTGAAGCGAAGCCCTCACCTGCCGCCAGAATCCGTGGTGAGGGCACGTTGTTTCCAACTACCTCTGCCAGAATGAGGCAGATAAGGGCCTCGTTCCATCACTCACGAACTGTGCATAATGAATTGCCCCTAGAACATGGAAGGATACATCGACAAAAGTTTTTAGTCCCTTCACTGGCCATGTGTCAGATTCCAACAGGCCTTGAACTGTTGAAATACAGGCCTGAGTGTTATGGCCGTTATACGGCCTTGCTCCACTACTCACGCCATGTGCAAGTTTGGAATGAATCTTCCGCTAGAACACGGGAAGATACACCACCATATTTTTTGTCTTTTGTGCATGTGGTGTGTAGTGGAGTGAGGCCCAACCTCACATGCCCGTTAAAGGGCTTCGCTCCACTACTCGCCACATGCACAAAAGATGGAAAATATGGCGGTGCATCTTCCCATGTTCTAGCGTAGGATTCATTCTCCATTTGCACATGTCGTGAGTAGTGGAGCGAGGCCCACATGTTCGCTGACATCAGGACTACTTTTCTTTTTTTGGATGAAAACATGAACGGGCCTCCCTTCCCGTGAAACACAATACCAAAAAGAAAACACAACGGGCCTCCTAACACACACACACACACAAAAGAAAAAGAAAAAGGGGGCACATTCCGCCGTGCGCGCGCATGGGGCCCCGTCACGGGTACCCCTGCGCACTGCCCATGTGCGCACAGTGCACGCGGTGCGCACGTGTGCGCTCATCGCTCATGGGCGCACGACGCACCGCGCCCCGCACCGCATGGCACACCCCACAGGTGCGCCGCAAGTATGGTGAAAACATATAAAGCCCCGCCCAGGCACAATACAAAACCGCAAAAAAAGAAGGCTACCATTCTAAACTGTCGCCACACCCTGCAAAACTGTCCTGCCACCCGTGCAGCAGGGGTCCGTATCGGCAGGGCCCCAACCGCAGACACAGACCCCGCAAAACCCACCACCACCTCGCAATTCAGGGCGGATTACACCTCTACCCACATGATTACCAAAGAGCGCCAACTCCCACCACAATGGCGTTTTGCAAGCGAGCGGGTGTAGCCTACCTCCCGCACGGCAGGGGCCAAAGACCCCGCAAAACCCTCCCTCCTCCTCGTGATTTAGAGTAACCCAGAACCCCAATCCCCATCCACTCCCTAACGGAACTTCACTGCACTCCATGATGAAGTTCCGGCAGAGCTATGCTCTCCAATTCATCTAAAAAAGGCCAGACGATAGCAACAACCAAAACCAATTGCAAAGGGGTGGATGTCAAAAGAGCATATACTACTTTTACATTGGCTTCTCAAGCCAGCAGAAATACCCTACCACCCGCACGACAGGGGTCAAAGACCCCGGAAACCCTCCCACCTCCTCGCGATTTAGGGCAGACTGCACTCCTAAGAAACTCCACCGCCTTGTTCGTCTTCTTTTCTTCGGTTTGGTTGGACTTGGTTTCCATAGGAACATATGAGTGCGGGCTGATGGGACACATCGGAGCGGGGCTGCTTGAACTGAGCTGGCACCGTGGAGCTCTGTGGTGTGAGATGCCCAAGTGTCCTCACGTCGCAGTCGCCGGTAGCTCTCCGGTGATATTTGTCGGCGGTTCATTGAAGTTGCATTCAACATGCTTGGGGAATCGATGGCTTCTACACTTGGACGTGATTTTGGGAAGATGGCGGAGCTACTTGACGGAGTTGCTGAGACCAGCACAATGAGCAGGGCTACTTGAACTAACCTGGAGACGAGGACCTCTGCGATGTGAGATGCCCAAGTGTCCTTCATTCGCAGTTGCCGGTAGCTCTCCGATGATTTCGGTCGGTGGTTCATTGAAGTTGCATTCAGAGGTGAGCATTTTTAGTTTTACCTTCACCCACGCATGACCCGCCCGATTTTTTTCTAATTTGACCCACCCTTGCCCAACCATTTTTCTTTTCGGCTCACCTCAACCCGACCCGCCCAGTTGTTTTTCAAAATTTCCCACCTTCACCCGACCCGCCCGACACCCGAAAACAAGCCTCACCCTGACCCACCCGCACTTGTGACTGCACCCAGACCCGCCCGCACCCATGACCTAATTAAACCTCGTCCGCACCCGCCCACACCCGCCCGCAC